GGACCGGGGGGGGGGGGGGGGGGGGGGGGGGGGGGGAGGGGCCAGAGGTGGGCTGGCTGCTGAAGGAGCCTGGGCACTCATGCCTGGGGACTGACTGTCAGAGCGCGACAGCTTGGCAATGGGGTGGCTGCAGCCTGGCTGGGCCCTGGGCTGGACTCAGCGCCAGGCGCTACCTTCCCTTCCCCGTGCTAACCTGGGGGCTTCTCACGCTGCACTGCTGGGGACCATGAACCTGGCGGTCCGGTGTCAGGGCCTTAGCCCCTGCCAAGCGGGCAAGTCTTCACCACGAGCCTAGTCCAGCTGGCCTTGCTCACGGTGCGGGGCAGAGGAGTCAGTGTCAGCAGGTGGGGAGGCTATGGGGCCTGCCCTGGAGGAAGAGTGAGGCCCCTGGGGTCTGGCACACTAAGGCACACTCCAAGATATTATTCAAGAGCTGGGAGGTGCAGCCTGGATCCTATGGATCCAGGAAAGAGGGTTGAAAAGCACCCTGGGAACTCACCTAGTCTTGCCCCCTGCTCACACTGCATCCCCCGCCTGCACTACCCCACACGTACCAACCACTCACCCCCAGCCTGTCCCCACCCCCAGACTCTCACAGACTCTCCAATGGCCACCCCCCAGCCAACCTCCCTTGCTGATCTGTGGCCTATCCCTCACAACCATGCACCGCCCCCACCTTCTCACGGATCTCCAATGCTCTCTTGCACAGCGGCTCGGCCTCCTTCTACTTGCCCCTCTTACCGTACAGCACTGCCAGGTTGTTCAGGGTGGCAGCCACCTGCGGGGAAAGACGTGTGTCACTGTCCAGCCAGCCCACCCAGCGGCTGCCTGCTCTGTCCAGGGGAGTTCAAGCTTGGTGGCACTTTCAGTCCCCCAACCCCTCTGGGATGAGTCTGGGGTAACAGTGCAGCACAGACCTGAGCCAACCTACAAGAGGCAGTCCCCTGCTCCATGCTACTCCCTCTGCCAGTGAGAGAACCCAGGAGCCTTGGCTGCCAGCCCTCCCAAAGCTGGTGACAGAATCTGGAAGAATTGGAGCTTCCAGCGCCTCATATTTTAATCCACAAGATCATAGAATCATAGGGTATGTCTACACTGCCACACTAGTTCCAACTAGGGTGGCTAATGGAGGCATTCAAACTTGCAAATGAAGCCCGGGATTTAAATATCCTGGGCTTTATTTGCATGTTCCTGGGTGCCGCCATTTTTAAATGCCCGTGGTTCGAATTCCTCCTGCAATGAGGAGTAACGGTAGTTTGAATTAGGAGCTTTAATTCGAACTACCTTGTCTGTGTTGCGTGTAGCCATGGGCAGGTAGTTCGAACTACGGTGCATTTAAAAATGGGGCGCCCGGGAACATGCAAATAAAGCCCAGGATATTTAAATCCCGGGCTTCATTTGCAAGTTTGAATGCCTCCATTAGCCACCCTAGTTCGAACTTAGGGTGGCAGTGTAGACATACCCATAGATACTAGAACTGGAAGAGACATCGAGAGGTCAAATCCGGTCCCCTGCCTTCACAGAAGGACCAAGTACCATCTTGATCATCCCTGATAGATATTTATCTAACCTGCTCTTAAATATCTCCAATGATGAAGATCCCACAACCTCCCTAGGCAATTTATCTCAGTGGTTGACCACTCTGATAGTTTAGAAAGTTAGTAACCTCCCTTGCTGCAGTTTAAGCCAATTGCTTCTTGTCCTATCCTCAGAGATTAAGGAGAATACTTCTCCCTCCTCCTTGTAACAGCCTTTTATGTATTTGAAAGCTGTTGTCAGGTCTCCTCTTTTCCAAATGAAACAAACCCAATTCTTTCAGCTTCAGAGAGGTAGCCTAGTTAGTCTGTAACTGGAAATACTTTTTTCAAAGTTTTTCCAATTCTTTCAGTCTTCCCTCATAGGTCATATTTTCTAGATCTTTAATCATTTATGTTGCCCTTCTCTGAACATTCTTCAATTTGTTCACATCTTTCCTGAAATGTAGTGCCCAGAACTGGACACAATACTCCAACAGAGGCCTACTGAGCATGAAGGACAGCAGAAAAATTACTTCTTGTGTCTTGCTCACAAACCCTTCTGTTCATGCATCCCAGAATCATGCTTGCTTTTTTTGCAAAAAGGTCACACAGTTGACTCATATTTAGCTTAGGTCTATAACCCCTAGATCCCTTTCTGCAGTACTCCTTTCTATCCGGTCATTTCCCATTTTTATGCATGAAACTGATCATTCCTTCCTAAGTGTAATTCCTTCCTACTTTGCATTTGTCCTTATTGAATTTCATCCTATTTAATGTAGACCATTTCTCTAGTTTGTCCAAATCATTTTGAATTACAACCTTATCCTCCAAAGCACTTGCAACTGTCTCCACTTGGTATCATCTGCAAACTTTATGGCTGTGTCTACACTGGCATGAATTTCCGGAAATGCTTAAAACAGAATAGTTTTCGTTATAAGTATTTCCAGAAAAAGAGCGTCTACATTGGCAGGCTGCTTTTCCGGAAAAGCCCTTTTTCCGGAAAAGCATCTGTGGCCAATGTAGACGCGCTTTTCCGGAAAAGAGCCCCGATCGCCATTTTCGCGATCGGGGCTTTTTTCCGGAAAAGACTACTGGCTGTCTACACTGGCCCTTTTCCGGAACAGTGTTCCGGAATAAGGACTTATGCCCGAGAGGGAGCAGTGTAGCTTTTTCGGAATAACGGCTGATTTTGTACAGTAGCGCGTCGTTGCTTTTCCGGAAATTCAAGGGCCAGTGTAGACAGCTCGCAGCTTATTCCGGAAAAGCGGCTGATTTTCCGGAATAAGTGGCCCAGTGTAGACACAGCCTATAAGTGTGCTCTTTGTGCCCTTATCTAAATCCTTGATGAAGATATTGAACAGAACTAGTCCCAAAACTGACCCTGTGGAATCCCACTTGTTATGCCCTGACAGCATGACTATGAACCACTGATAACTGGTCTCTGGGAAGGGTTATCCAACCAGTTATGCACTCACTGTATAGTAGCCCTGTCTAGACTGTATTTCCCTAGTTTAATCGATAAGAAGGTCATGAGAAACTGTATCAAGTGCTTTACTAAAGTCTCACCCCCACCCACGGCACACTTACAGCAGGGTGGTCCTTGCCCAGGGTCTTTTCCCGGATGGCCAGTGCATCGTTGAGAAGATGAGCAGCCTCCTTGTACTTGTTCTGGTCCCTGTTGTGGGGGCAGAAGATCCCAGTCAGATCCATGTGCTGTGGGCATCTGGGCCTAGCCGTAGAGGTAGGGGGGCCTGAGCAGAGCCCTGGGGTGGGGCAGGTTCTCGCTGTCCAAACCTAGCAGGGACCCCCCATTTCCAAGGCCCATCCAGCCGTTGCGTCCCCACTGAGGCTACCACCCAGGTGGTCATTTAGGGCGATGGGAGGTGGGTATCGCCAGGAACTGAGACCACTAGCTCCAGTCAAACTAGGCATCAGGTGGGGGAGCATGAGCGGCCCTAGACAAGCTGCCGGCAACTGGCGCCCTAGGCAAAACGCGCGATTGGCACGCGATCAGGTTCTCGCTGTCCAAACCTAGCAGGGACCCCCCATTTCCAAGGCCCATCCAGCCGTTGCGTCCCCACTGAGGCTACCACCCAGGTGGTCATTTAGGGCGATGGGAGGTGGGTATCGCCAGGAACTGAGACCACTAGCTCCAGTCAAACTAGGCATCAGGTGGGGGAGCATGAGCGGCCCTAGACAAGCTGCCGGCAACTGGCGCCCTAGGCAAAACGCGCGATTGGCATGCGATCAGTGCCCCTGTCTCCAAAGCCCTCAACGGCCGTTTATCTTGGCGCTCTAGGTGACCGCCTAGTTCGCCTATATTGAAGGGCCGCCACTGTGGGGGAGGGCCTTTACTGACTGGCACAAGATCAGAGCTGATGCCTCCTAGACAGGAAAGGCCCCCATGTCTCATTCCCTGCCCCAGCCAGTCCCTGCCCTCAGGTGCCCCTTAGAGAGGAAACGCCCAGTGTCCTATTCAGTGCTGTCCATATGAATTCTGGTGCCCTATGCAACTAGAGCACCAGAGAGGAGGCAGAATCCTGCAGGGGGCTCTGTGCTCAGGGCTGTGGGGAGCAGGCGGAAGGAGAAGTGGTGCAGCCGACAGAGCTGGAGACTGGGGTTGCTGGGGTCAGAGGGCAGGACAGGGGCTGGAGGGGTGGAGGATTGGGCTGCTGAAGCTGGGAGGTGGAGCAGAGGCCAGGGAACTAGGGCTGCCTGAGCTCAGCCAGCGCTAGGCATACGCACCATAGTGCATCACTTAATTTGGGACACATGGGTGCCCCAAATAGGCATACACAAGGACAGTCCTGATCCCATTCCTTGGCCCCTTAAGCCAGCCAATCTCTGTTCCCTGGTGTCAGATCTGAGTAGAAGGGAAAGGTCCCATGACTTATTCCCTGTCCCTGGACTCAGCAAGGCCATGCTCCCAGATCAGAGCTGGTGCCCCGGAGATGGGAAAGACCCCGGGTTCCCTTCCCTACCTGTATACCAAGGCCAGGATGTTGAGCATGGTGGCCACGTCGGGGTGGTCATGGCCTGAGGTCTTTTCCAGGTCCTCCAGTGCCTGCTTGCAGAGTGGCACAGCCACCTCGTAGCGCCCCTGGGAAGCATACTGGATCACCAGGTTGTGCAGCGTGCGCAGCCGTGCTGGGATCTCGTAGCCCCCATGCTGGGCCGCGGCCTCCCCGCTGCCAGGTGCCGACCCTGTGGGGGAGAGAGGTAGTGAGGGGCGGTGGGCAGACAGATGGCCCCGCCCTGCCGCACTCAGCTGGGCAGCTCACCTTGGCCCTGGTCGTCGTCACTGGGAAACAGGTCATCCAGCGAATCCTTGGCTGCCTCCCCATTCTTCTCTTCCTGGGCAGGGAGAAGGTGATCAGGGCTAAAGCTCTCCTATGTCAGCCTGGGGAGCATGTGGGCGGCGCCCAGCCCCACTCTACCACTATGACCATTAGATCCCCCCCACACCTCCCAGAACAGCAGGGAGAACCCAGAAGTCCTGGTTCCCAGTCTGCCCTGCACTAACCCACCAAACTCTGGTCCTGTGACAGAGCTGGGAGAGAACCCATGAGGCCAAGAAGCCAGGCTCTGGGCGGGGGACGCACCGAGGGGGAGATGTCTTCGTCAAACTTCTTGATCTGGTTCATGAACTCCAGGTGCTTCTTCTCCTCCTCAAGCTGCGCCACGGCCTGCTCGCTGCGCTGTCCCGCAGCCACTGGTTCTCCTGCACCAGACGCCGCACCTGGGCCCGCAGCTTCTGCTTCTCGGACTCCACCGCACTCAGGTGGCTCGACAGAGCAATGATCACCTGTGGGGAGGTGCAAGATGGGGACCAATCCCCCAGGCAACCACAGCCCTTCCCTGCCCCCCGGCACCCACTGCTTCCCACAGCCACCGCTCTCCCACTGGCCCTGGCCCTCACTGTCCCGTGACCTCCCGACCCCCTGCCAGCCACTGCCTCCCTGTATTCCCCAGCCTCCCCACCCCTCGCCCTAACACCAGCCTCCCTCTCCCTCACAGGAACTCCTGCCCTCCCCACCCTCCAACAGCCCTAACACTATATATACACTGGACAGAGCTGCCCCTGGGCGGGGAGTCACTGTTCCTTTTCAGAGAGAAATTGGACTTGCCCCCAGGGTCACGTTCCCAATGACAGATTTAGGAGCTGAACCTGGGAATCCTGGTTCAAAGCCTCACTCCGGCTCTAACCCACAAGGTCCCACTCCTGTCCCAGAGCTGGGAATAGAACCCAGGTGTCCTGGCTCTTGCTAACAACTGGAACCAATCACATCCCTGAGCTGGGGAGGGAAGCCAGGCCTTACCTGGGCCTCCCCCAGCCCCAGCTCGATGGCCTCCAGTGACTTGCGCAGCAGGCTGGACTTCTCCTGCACAGTGCTGGGCTCATGCTGCTTGTCCAGGCAGTTCCTGGGGTCCAGCAGGGTGGCCAGAATGGAGTGGTGCTCACTGCGCAGCGTTTCCAGCCCTTGGATCACAGCCTTGGTGCCCAGCACGATCTCATCCTGGCTCAGCTTCTCCTCTCGCGGGTACACCATGGTCGCCATGGCTGGGCTCCTGCAGTGGTGGGGAGTGGGCTATAAGACAGGAACCCGGCACAACCAGATACCCTCCCCCCACCTCACAATACACAGTCAGGGTCTCAGCACAGCCACCCCTCAGAATGGGACCCAGAAGTGCTGGCTCCCAACTCTCTCAAACCACTACAACTCACTGCCCTCCTAAAGCTGGACTCGAACCCGCCTTGTGACTCCCCTGCACCCTCAAATGTAACCAGCAGACATCAATCCTTGATGCTGCCCCATGTCCCTTTCATCTCGGGCCTCACTTGGCTGGTGAGACGAGTAGGGGAAGTAGGGGAAAGGGGAGCACAAGGCAATCTAGGGGCACACGGGCTCCCTCATTTCTCTCAAATGACCTCTGATTCCCAGGATGTTATTCCAGCTTCCCCCACCAGGGGGGCCGACAGCTCAAACCCTAGCGACGCAATGCGGTCCAGGCCTCAGGAGTTACTCAGCCAGCGGCTCCCTGCACAGCGCTGGGGCGGGGTGGTAGGACTCCCAATCGTCCACACAGAGATTGTTCTCTGCCGCCCCACCTCCTTTTCCCCTCTGCACCTTGAAACTGCCCCAGCACACCCCACATTCCCGATCCCCACTGCACCTTGAAACTACCCCAGCGCACCCCACATTCCCGACCCCCCCTGTACCTTGAAACTGCCCCAGCGCACCCCAAAACCTGACCCCCACTGCACCGTGATACAGTCCCAGCGCACCCCACATTCCCGACCCCCCCTGTACCTTGAAACTGCCCCAGCGCACCCCAAAACCTGACCCCCACTGCACCGTGATACAGTCCCAGCGCACCCCACATTCCCGACCCCCCCTGTACCTTGAAACTGCCCCAGCGCACCCCAAAACCTGACCCCCACTGCACCGTGATACAGTCCCAGCGCACCCCACATTCCCGACCCCCCCTGTACCTTGAAACTGCCCCAGCGCACCCCAAAACCTGACCCCCACTGCACCGTGATACAGTCCCAGCGCACCCCACATTCCCGACCCCCCCTGTACCTTGAAACTGCCCCAGCGCACCCCAAAACCTGACCCCCACTGCACCGTGATACAGTCCCAGCGCACCCCACATTCCCGACCCCCCCTGTACCTTGAAACTGCCCCAGCGCACCCCAAAACCTGACCCCCACTGCACCGTGATACAGTCCCAGCGCACCCCACATTCCCGACCCCCCCTGTACCTTGAAACTGCCCCAGCGCACCCCAAAACCTGACCCCCACTGCACCGTGATACAGTCCCAGCGCACCCCACATTCCCGACCCCCCCTGTACCTTGAAACTGCCCCAGCGCACCCCAAAACCTGACCCCCACTGCACCGTGATACAGTCCCAGCGCACCCCACATTCCCGACCCCCCCTGTACCTTGAAACTGCCCCAGCGCACCCCAAAACCTGACCCCCACTGCACCGTGATACAGTCCCAGCGCACCCCACATTCCCGACCCCCCCTGTACCTTGAAACTGCCCCAGCGCACCCCAAAACCTGACCCCCACTGCACCGTGATACAGTCCCAGCGCACCCCACATTCCCGACCCCCCCTGTACCTTGAAACTGCCCCAGCGCACCCCAAAACCTGACCCCCACTGCACCGTGATACAGTCCCAGCGCACCCCACATTCCCGACCCCCCCTGTACCTTGAAACTGCCCCAGCGCACCCCAAAACCTGACCCCCACTGCACCGTGATACAGTCCCAGCGCACCCCACATTCCCGACCCCCCCTGTACCTTGAAACTGCCCCAGCGCACCCCAAAACCTGACCCCCACTGCACCGTGATACAGTCCCAGCGCACCCCACATTCCCGACCCCCCCTGTACCTTGAAACTGCCCCAGCGCACCCCAAAACCTGACCCCCACTGCACCGTGATACAGTCCCAGCGCACCCCACATTCCCGACCCCCCCTGTACCTTGAAACTGCCCCAGCGCACCCCAAAACCTGACCCCCACTGCACCGTGATACAGTCCCAGCGCACCCCACATTCCCGACCCCCACTGTACCTTGAAACTGCCCCAGTGCACACCGCATCCCCGACCCCCACTGCACCTTGAAACTGTCCCAGTGCACCCCACATTCCTGATCCCCACTGCACCTTGAAACTGCCCCAGCGCACCCCAAAACCTGACCCCCACTGCACCGTGATACAGTCCCAGCGCACCCCACATCCCTGACCCCCACTGTACCTTGAAACTGCCCCAGTGCACACCGCATCCCCGACCCCCACTGCACCTTGAAACTGCCCCAGCGCACCCCACATTCCTGATCCCCACTGCACCTTGAAACTGCCCCAGCGCACCCCACATTCCTGATCCCCACTGCACCTTGAAACTGCCCCAGCGCACCCCACATTCCTGATCCCCACTGCACCTTGAAACTGCCCCAGCGCACCCCACATTCCTGATCCCCACTGCACCTTGAAACTGCCCCAGCATTACAGGTGCTGTAACTAGGGGTTGGTGGGGTGCTGCTGCACCCCCAGGCCTGGAGTTGTTTCTATCATACAGAGGGTCTACAGTTCAGCTCTCAGGACCCCCACTGTACAAATTGTTCCAGCTCCCCCGTCCACTGCATCCCGCATCTCTCCCAACCCCTCCAATGCCCCACTGCACCTTGAAACTACCCCAGCACACCCCACATTCCCGACCCCCACTGCACCTTGAAACTGCCCCAGCGCACCCCACATTCCCGACCCCCACTGTACCTTGAAACTGTCCCAGCGCACCCCACATTCCCGACCCCCACTGTACCTTGAAACTGCCCCAGTGCACACCGCATCCCCGACCCCCACTGCACCTTGAAACTGTCCCAGTGCACCCCACATTCCTGATCCCCACTGCACCTTGAAACTGCCCCAGCGCACCCCAAAACCTGACCCCCACTGCACCGTGATACAGTCCCAGCGCACCCCACATCCCTGACCCCCACTGTACCTTGAAACTGCCCCAGCACAGCCTGCATCCCCTCACCCCCACTGCACCTTGATACAGTCCTAGCCCACCCTGCATCCCTGACCCCCACTGCACCTTGAAACTGCCCCAGCATTACAGGTGCTGTAACTAGGGGTTGGTGGGGTGCTGCTGCACCCCCAGGCCTGGAGTTGTTTCTATCATACAGAGGGTCTACAGTTCAGCTCTCAGGACCCCCACTGTACAAATTGTTCCAGCTCCCCCGTCCACTGCATCCCGCATCTCTCCCAACCCCTCCAATGCACGGGGAAACAGCCCCAACGCATCCTGCATCTTCCTCCCAGACCGCACCATGTCTCCCCACCCCTGCGCCAAGCGCACTCCGGAGCCCCCCGGCCGGACGAGCTTCCCCTGCGAATCCGAC